GTCTTCTAAAAGTAGGCTTTTGAAGACTACAAGATGGTAAGCTAAAAGAAGTAAATTACAAAATTGAACTGGATGATCCTAAATTTCTAAGCAAAAAGTTTGGTGTATGCAAAGAAAAAAATGTCAGAAGAAAATGTACTCAAATATTAACAGTGGCTATTTTCTACATGCAATCTATATTACTTTTATAACCTAAAATATATTATTTGCTAAATGAAGATAACAAAAAACATAAATAATTCTTGGTGTCATTAGTGTACTGATGGCACAGGGAAAGCAAACCCTCTCATGAGTCTATTGATAGCTCGCCATCACAGAGAGAACTTGCAAATGAGATTATTTTCAAGTGGTAAATAACGAACTTTCTCATTATAACTTGGTGAGCTTGATACTAATTCTAGGCAAGCTTCTAAAATGGGCTCTTTAATGGAACTTTGTATAAACCTAAAAAAAAAAGGAAACCATCAATCTGCACGAACATCATGGATTCACTCAGGCATCATTTCAGATGACCTCATTTCCTATTCTGATGAGCAGTTTGGAGGGGTTATACAGGACAAGTCTATCTACTATTAGATGAAACCAAACTGAGCGAACTAGTAAATCTACTACTAAGATCAAAATCCTGAAAGAAGCGGGCAAGCAGCTTAAGGCCCTAGGAAGTCACATGTCCTAATTTAGCTTTTTTCTTGGATGAGGCAATAGAAGGCAAGCTCATTACATACTGGATGGTACCAAATGGAGAGGAATACCAGCTGTATAGCAGGACCCAAGTAAGGAGTTAAGCAATAGTCTAAATTCAATGAGGTAATATCCATCATAGTTGTGTGTAAGATATAATCATTCAAGGTTAATCACTAATGGGTACTGGATTTCTTTTGTTAATGAAAGTGATGAAAACGTTCAAAGACCGGATAGTGGTGATGGTTGCAAAACACTGCAAATATTCTAAAACCAATGAATTGTACATTTTAAAATGATTAAAATGAATTCTGATTTTTTTAAATTTTACCTCGTTAAAATATGTGTAATTGCAAAATATATATTGTAATATATATTATATATTAAGATACATTGACATCCACAAATTCTTAACACTAATACTAAAAGAAGATTCACAATACTGATAAGTAGCTGGTACAGTGAACAAGAGACTTGGACTACTAAAGCAAATTCTTAAAAATGAAGTACTGAAATAGAGTATTATGCACATCTTCAATGATTCCATTATTAATTTATTTACTGCATGCTTACTTGGTCACAAGCATTGTGTTAGGCACTGAAGATACAAGGGTGAACAAAATATAATCCCCATCATCGTAGGACTTCCAGTCAAGCAGGGGAGCTTGGCATTAAACAAATATAACTCAAATAAATATAATAATTATAATAAGACACATAAGGGGACAATACAAAGTTCTATGATAAAATACAACAGGTGGATCTGATTCTGATGGGAAGTTGGGCAATATCCTCTCTGAGGAAATTACACTTAATCTGAAATTTGAAAGATGAGGCATTTAGCCAGGTGAAGAGTGAGAATTCGCTCTTCCCAGACAGAACAGCTGTGCAGAAGTCCCAAGGCAGAAAAAAACCTGTCCTGTCTGAGAAACCTATAAAGGCGAGTTGTGATCAGAGGCAATGAATAACTAGATTGTCACAAAATGAGGCAGGAGAAATAGGAGTGGGGTCAGTCTACACAGAGGCCTATGGGCCACTCTGAGGATTCTCATTTTGTATCCTGGGTCAAGGGATGCCACCCAAGAATTTTAGCAGGAAAGGGACATGATCAGTTTGTGTTATAAAAGTTATCACCCAGGCCCCTCTCTGGAAAAAGGATTAGAGACCATCAAAAGAGTAAATTAGAAGACTAGTTAGGAAACACTCAAGTGATGTCTCAGCCTGGGGGGCAGGGGGAGTAAAAAGGAAGACAAGACATTTTCAAGGTCTATTTTGGAGTTTGGGGGGTTAGCACATATTCTATTTTATACCTCCAATTTACACTTGTAGGAAAAATGCCTTCCAGAAGGACCAAAGCATAAAAAGTAGAGATTACTTAGCCAGGATCCTATATACTGTTGTGTTGATCCAATAGCAAACCAAATCCTACAAACTCTTCAAGCCCTTAAGTCTTTTCATATAATCCAGTTATAGTTGAACCCACATTATTCCTAAGCTTCCAGCAAGTTTTCAGAGTGGCAAAGGAAGCCAGACAGTGATGCAAAAACCCCAAAATTCACTGTGATGAGTACAGGTAATGTTTGGTGTCCTCACTTTGACCCCAACTGCAAACCAGTTTGTCCTGAAACTTTTTTTTTTAATCCTATAGAGGAATCATTCTGAGAAAGAAGCACTCTGCTTAGCATATGTTCTGTTAAAGGCCTTAGCTAAACACACACACACATCCCCAGAAAGAAATATGTGCAAAGCATTCCAGATTATTCATGGGCATCTGTCCCCTTAAACTGTACTCCAAAGACTGAAGCAGAACACAAGAGGCTGTGATAGATATACCCAGCTTACAAAGAGTAAATGAATAGTTCCCATTGTAATAGGAAATCAACTGTATGTTATACATGCATACATTTCTTTTCCTCTTAACATAAAATTCTACTACCCACATTGTAAATATTTCTTCAGGCCCACAGTGGGTCAGATAAACTTTGCGTATACTTCTTGCAAATCTAAAACATGAAACCATGAAATCAAAAGAAATTTACCTATTCAGTTCCCCCAGAGCATAATGGAAGCAAATAATAATGATGAATATGACTGTGATCAACCATATATTTACAATATACGCTCTGTAAGTCGTCTTGTTCTCTTTTTTCATTTAGACTGTAAAAATCAATTTTGTACTTAAAAATGTAAAACAAAAGGATGATATTTAACCTCAAGGATTCATTTATCTGTGACCAGTTATCATTTTCAGTTTTTTTAAGGTTTCTGCACAATGACACGACAGCTGTCATAAATGCTCCTGCTCCTCAATTCCCTCCATGAAAGCTTTTCTAAAAAGGTTTCCCTTGTCCTTTAAGGCAGAGCTGATCCCTGATCCATTTTGCTCTATCTACTGCACCTTGTACATACCAGTCTCTTATCATACAATGACATATTTATAACTGCCTCCCATTCCAGACTGTGAGTTCCTGGATACTCCCAGTACATAACACAGAGCCTGGAACATGAAGGGTTCTCAAATGCTTGTAGAATGAAATGAATGAATAATTGAATCTGATCCATCCAACTTCTGTAATTTCAGATTTTTTTCCACCTGCAGTATCCTAAATGTTAAGGAAGCCTGCCTCAATTCAATGACACTTGAGACAATTCTCCATCTCCTCCCATTTCTTTCCATTTCCATATAGTAAAGGATTTCTGACTTGACATACTACCCTGCTTAGAGGGTGTCTATAAACACCAATTTTAAGAATAACTAAGAACACAGCTTGCTGCTCAGGTATACACACATGATTTTGTACCAAGTGAGTTTGAATATAGACTAGAAAAGGCCTCTGCTCCTCAAAATCCATATTCTGTAAGAAAATGGCATTCACTGCCCTGTCACTCTATCATTCTTGCTATTGACATTCACATCAGATATCACTTTTATAAAAGGCCCACTTCATCAAGAAAGAAAAAAAGGATGCCCTTGGCAAGGGCAGAGGGAGTCTATGAGTTAAATTTGACCGTCTGGAATAAATTATTTAGTACCACTTAAACTCTGAAAGCATTGAGCCACCTAACCTGTGGTTTATGGCATTGTCTTCTAAGTTTACAATTTCCCCATTGTGAAGTAACAATTTAATTCCACAGTGCAAAATCAATACAATTCAAATTTACTGTTGGAACTGACATTCTCCAGCAAACTAAAAGATTTCTTCTTCCACTAACATGAGATCATTTTATAGCTGTTTACAAAGAGGTACTAATGGACCATTCCAAAATTTAGGAATGAATTCTTAATTTTGCTGAACATAAAGCAAAGCAATTGCCTCCTCCCTCCATGAAATGAGTGGGATCACTGGAGCCACCTGAGCTCTGGCCACTCTGATCTAGCTTTGACCTAACTCTGTCAGGGGCCTAAATTTGAACAGGAGATCATCCTGGAATCTCCTATTCCTGGAAATGTCAGGAGCTGTGGTGGTGGTAACAAGAGTTTGCCGACAGGATTTTAAAATCGATTCTTTCACTAGTTTAGGGTTTTTAACAGACAGGAATGTCAATTATCATTTTCATTCTAAATTATATTCTCAGTACAACTATGAGTAGAAAGGTTTGGTACAGCTGTCAGCGTTTCCATATATTTAAACTGGAATAACCTGGGGACCAGTCGCTTCTGTCGAGTGGCAAAACCTGGTGTTTAAAATACATCGGTGCGTGACAAATCGATAAGCTGCATCTTTTCCCCCAAAGAATAAAAGAGACCAGAAAAGGCAAGAACACACCATCATTCAATCTACAGTGTATACTTCTGGTCCGCTCTGTGTAAGGTCCCTTGCGGCTGCTAGCCTGAGGATGGAGAAAGCCGAGTCGGGTGGGTCTGACCCCCTTCACTTAACAAGCTTCTGAGCTCATTCAGCCCATCCGCACAGAGCTCGTTTTCCCCGCATTTGTCATTGAAAGGCCTGTCTCTCTTTCAACTCCTCAGAGCAGCCAACAGCCAAAAGAAAAAGCCTAGGGCCATGCCAGAAGGAAGCGTTTGATCAGCAGCCCGCCACTTGACAGACACCTGGGGTTCCCTCCCGTCCATCCTTACGTCCACGGAGCACCCCCAAGGACAAGCGGTTAGGTCCAGCTAAGGCTTAGGGCCTGCCAGGCAGCAAGAGAACGTCCGGCCTCCTAGGGACCCGGGAGATGCTCAGGCGCCGCCAGCTCCTCCCTCGCTCGCGGTCCAGGCTCTGCCCGCGCCCCGCAGGGGAGCCTGGCCTCCCGCGCGCTCAGCATCCCTCTTCCTCCTGCTCCTCCGGTCCCTCCTCCGCCGCGCTCGGGCCACCAACCTTGGGCGTGCGGATGTGCTCCATGGCGGGCCCGCGTCTGCAGGGTGCGCGGCGGGCGCGGCCTCACGCACCTGCGCGCATCTGCGGCGCGGCGGGGGCGGGGCGGGGAGGGGGCTTCGCGCCCCGGAGGGGGCGGGCCGCGAGCTTGGCTCCGCCCCCAGGTGCGCCCGCGCCCGCGCCGGGCCTTACGTGCGGGGCCGGGGCTCCCGCGCGGCCCTAGAGAGCGCCGCTTTGAGCCTCCTCCCACCTGCTCGGCCCTGTCGCCGCCCCACGCCGTCTCTGGCGGGGGTCGCCGGAGCCTCGCGCGTAATACTGTAGGGCTCCTGTTCCCCTAGGCACAATGAGGGCCTTGTGTTGGGTGTGGCCTCTTGGAGGAGAGATGGGGAATATGCCCATCGGCTTCCTCTACCAAGGCGTCCTGGGATAGGTGGGGTTTCCGGGTGAGGCAGAAAAAAGTCGGCCACGTATACTCCGGATCCAGTTGGATCTAGTGGGCCCTGTCTGTATATTTCAGCCGGCATAGCATTTGGGATGAGGATGGGAAAAAATAGCGACAGTGTTAACGCCTCGCATCAACCTGTGATTTCACTGTTGGAAGCGAAACTTTTCCCTTGGCAGGATGTTGGGTGCTCCTTTGCCATCTTCATTTAGCTCCAACTCAACTGGGAGATAGAGATAGAAAGCATCCATTATGAGGGACCATCTTCCCATGTATGAATTTAAGAGTAGCTATTGCCTTTGTTAGTATTAAGCCTTTGGGAAAAGCCAAAAAGAAAAAATGCCCTCCTCTACCTTTTTTTCCTTGCGGCCCGAGGTGTACAACGCTCCTCTATAACTAAAATTTTAGACAACTATACACAGTTCTTGGAATAATATCTGTTCAACTTTTTTCTAGTTTTTATCGCATCTTTTCCACTGGAATGTGAATTCTCTGACTGTGGATACACTTTTTTTTAAATCTCCTTTACTCCAATGCCTGGTAGGCACATTGCAGCCTTACCAAAAAAATGTGTATTTCGCCAATATAGTTTCATTTATTTAAAATTCCAGATCCCCTTCACACATTCTCTATCATTTCATCCTCCTACCACCTCGGGAGGCTATTAGAACAAGTACTATAAACCACCATTTGCATACGTCAAGAATGACCCGAGGTATAATTTCTTCTTTACCAAGGGAAGAGAGTCAGCAGCACTCTGGTCACAACTCACGCACTGGCCTCAGACCCCTCATTTATTAAATAAGAAAGTCCCCCACCTAGTTGATCTCAAAAGTAGCTTTCATCTCCAAATTCTATCAATACTAAGAATCTTGTATCTGCGTTGAGGAGGAATATTTTAAATGGGCAAATGATCTTGGAATCATATATTTTCAGAGTTTCTTCTTTCCTTATACTAGTGAGCTAATCAAAAGTCTACTTGGTGAGTGATTTTTGCATGCAAGTATTTGTGATCTGTTGCTTATTAGTATAGGGTTTTGGGGGTTTTTTTTAGCTAATTGATGAAGAGAAGTAAGTCAACATTTCAAGCAGCCTAATGCTAAGACAAAACTCACAGATTAATTAAAAATATATTTTACATTATTCAGTTATAAAATCGGCCTTAGATTGAGTCAAGAGTTATACTCAGATTATTAGGATATGTTAACATGGAACAAGCTAGAAATAAAATAAAAGGGAAAGAAATTTCTGTAAACAAATATTTTGGTTTAATCCGATAGTTCTTTGAGGAATTTTTCTCAACTTGTTCTCCAGTTCCCGTCACTCTTGAGGCTGTTAGATTTCAAACTGTGGTGATTTCTAATAGCCACACTGAATTTTTCTGGTAGTTATACTGCTATATGCCACCCTCTGCCCCCCCCCCAAGTTTCATTTCTGCCCCATCACTACCCAGCAGGGCAGAAGAGATTGAAAAAGCAACAAGAATTAGATAGCAGTAAGGTGAAGGAACCAAGAGTATATTATTAAAGTAGTTATGTTCATTCTAAATCAGGAGGAAAAGAAAACTAGCCATTCATTTACTCAAGAAGTACTGCTATTATTTAACTATTGGTTATATGCAAGGAATCATGTCAGATACTGAGAGACTGACGGGAGACCTAGATGGGGACCCAATTACAATTCTGTAATCGTAATAATGAATGGTAGACTAACTAGGGTGGTGACAGAGCATATGGAAATGTCAAAGGGAGCTTCAAGAAGAATGGTCTACTCTACTTCCTACATTTTCCCTGTTACTTTGAGAAAAATCAATGGAAAGACTTAGGATCATTTACTTAGTTCTTGAAGTTTGATATCTAATGTGTCTGGAATGAACCACAGTCCAGTTAGATGAATATTGCAACTCTGACCCTTCACAGAACTGAAACCTCTCCATCTGGCCCCAGGCCAAGAAGTGAGAAGGAGAGGGAAAAAGCTTATTCTTCCAACTGTACATAATTTGCAAATGGATCTGCACCAGATTTATATATATTAAATCAGCTTCTGTTCAATGGGTTGGGAAAATGACTATTTTCTCTAAAATTGTGAATCTTGGATAAGTGTATTTCAACAAAACTATTTTCACCATCAAGCAAAATATCAGATAATACAGTTAAGACTACTTCTACCAAACTATTTTCCTTTGCCAAGGCACATTGTTGCTGTCCTCATTTTATTAATATCATCAGTGTCTTATGTTCCAGTGATTTTTGGCTTTGTGAAATGGTAGATATTGTGTATCAATATTTAATTATCTTGTGCTTCCTGGACACACAGGGAACTATACTTTTCAACCCTCTCACTGTTGAACACAGCCACGTGAATAGTTCTGGCCAGTGGACTGTGGAAGTGACTTATGTCATTTCTGGGCCAACCTCCTGCAAAGCCCGTTTGACCTTTCACTTTTCCACTGTCTTTTTAAATTTTTTTTAGATTAGAAAATATAGTTTATTTAGAAAGTAAATTAGAGTGAAAGTAAATTAGAGAGAGAGGGAGATAGCTATGAGGGGAAAAAAAGAGACAGGAGATTCACCTCTCCAAGGTAGGAGAGGGGGCCAAAGCTTAGGAAACATGGTAGCCACAGCTCAAAGAGCATGTGACCAGACTATACCTTAGCAGAACAATGGCCTCTTCCCCTATCTTGATGATCTAGAAGTCACATGTTGAGATTAAAGAGGAAGTAATGATAATGAATTCTCAGTATGGGAAGAGACTATGGCTTAAAATTCAGTATTAGACTGAAATGAGACAAGACAGAAGCAAACTGAATCCCTAAGTCATTATTGCAATACTGCTCTGGAGAGCCACAGCACATTTTATTTTGTGAATGAAAAGAACACCTTTTAGTTGTTGCTGCTGCATAAAGCCACTGAATGTTAAAGATTAATTCATTATTCTAGCCTAGCCCGACCTATATTGTATTGACTTTATAGAAATGGGGAATCTGAGAGAGTCAAAATAATATACTATCTCTATCTTTTGTGTTTCTGATTTTTTTTTTTTAAAGGAGTTGAGGCCAGGCACTGTTGCTCATGCCTGGAGTCCCAGCACTTTGGAAGGCTGAGGCAGGCAGATTGCTTGAGTCCAGGAGTTCGCGACCAGTATGGGCAGCATAGTGAGACCTCGTCCCTACAAAGTATTAAAAAAAGTAGCTGGCATGGTGGCATGCACCTGTAGTTCCAGCTACTTGGGAGGCTGAGGTAGAAGTATTGCCTGAACCCAGGAGGTTGAGTGCAATACACTGCAGTGATCATGCTACTGTACTCCAGCCTGGGTGACAGAGTGAGACTTTGACTCCAAAAAAAAAGGAATTGATAATGTCTTTAAAGAGCTCTAAGGAAACTTACTATATGTGAGACTTAAACTACTTATACATTACCGAGCATCTTTTAGACGTCTTTTAAAGAAATTTTTATCATGTAGATATTCCAGTTGCAAATAAACTGCTAAAGGAATTTTTAAATAAAACTTTGATATTAACTAGGAACTATTCCAAAATCCTGTGATCCTCAGTGGCCTGAGGAGATTTGGACACTTACCAAAAATACTTACAAGGCTTTTTCCGGAATGCTTACATTTCTCTTGAGGCAGCTCAAACTTCTGATTTGGCAGTGCAGTCCAAAAGTGTTTCCCCTGGGGGTGGTATTGCTAATGATTACAAACTCAGTAAGATCCTATTCAGCAGTATTAAACCCAAGTGGTTCTAGTTATGTAAGGAGGATGGCACACATCTCTGAACAAGCCCAATCCCCACTAAAAATGCATTAGTTACTCAATATGATAGGTTCAGAGTTGCATTTGGGATTCTGTCTGGTAAAAAATGAGAATAGTATCTTCTCCTTCAGGATTTTTGTGAACTTCTTGATGCAAAATGTACTCTTTGGCCTTGCCCTATGCCAAAGATGTAGAGAAAAAGTACTAAGTGGGTTGTAGAGTGCGCTGCCCTTTTTCTAGGAACAAAAAAAGGAAACTCTAGGGCAGCAGGAAAAGAACACTTTGTGAACAGGCAAGATTTGAAAATAGTCTCCTTTTGAAAGTATGTAACTACTAGAATAAAACATAGAGGCAGTTCTTCATGACATTGGTCTGGGTGAGAATTTTTTTTGTTAAGAACTCAAAAGTACAGGCAGCAATAGCAAAAAATAGGCAAATGTGATTACATCAAAGTTCTGCACCCCCAAAACAATCAACAGAGTGAAGAAACAGCCTACATAATGGAGAAAAATATTTACAAAGTATACATGTGACAAGGGGTTAATATTGGAATATATAAGGAACTCAAACAACTCAACAGAAAAAAAAACCAATCTCATTTTAAAATGGACAAAATACTTGAGAAGAGATTCTTCAAAGAAGACATACAAATAACCAATAAGTATATTAACAGATGCTCAACATCACTAATCATAGGAAAATGCAAATAAAAATCACAGTGAGATATCACCTCATCCAAATTAGAATGGCTATTATCCAAAAGACAAAAAAAATAACAAGTGCCAGCACGGTTTTGGAGACAAGGGGACTCTTAAACACTGTTGATAGGAATGTAAATTAATACGGTTATGATGGAAGCAAAACAGTATAAAATGTTTCTCAAAAAATTAAGCATAGAA